CGAAAATACTTGTACTTCGACTATTCCCTCGCAATAATAGCAATTGACACGTATACACGTGCGTGCTTCCATAACAATACATACCATTTGTTAGTCTATCGCTGGCTGTCAGAGGAAGTCAAAAGACGATAATATTTTGAAGATTACCTGTCTTATCCAAAATATGCTAGAAAAATGCTAGATGAACAGAAGACACCAAGGGCTAAAGGTCAGCTCAGTAGTAGATGTTTTTTAATTGTTTGTTGTTTAACGCCCTTTCGAGAATTGTTAACTCATATGGAGACGCCACCATTTACTGGTGGAGGGCTGCAAATTTGGACTTATACTCGCACTCAGGGGCATAGAGCAGTGAGGGATCTTTTTCGTCCTAGTACCTACTGCGACACGGGACCTCGGTTTATAAATACGGTTTGCTCCGAAGGACCAGTCTCCACGTCCCATAGTGGGATTCGAACCCGTGACGTAAGGATCAACTCCTTACGTTGTGACTTTAGAGCAGAAAGACGGACAAACAGACGGACATGGTGATTCCAATATACCCCCCCTAAACTTCGTTTGCGGGGGGTATAATAATATACATGTACATGTAGAAGCAGTTCCGCTTATTTAATTCATCATATCCAATGCGCCAAGTAAATTTATTGATAATATTAGATACATTCCATTTAAAACTGGTAGCAGGCTAAATACTGAGAAAGAATTTCAGTGGAGGGGGGGGGGGCTCCTTACATATCCCCTAGATCTGCGCATGCAAGGTTTGTGTTACTTTTGCATAAGAAATTAACGTTTCCAGAATAAATTTCGCCTTCCCCCAAGAATAAATTTCTTCCCCCTTCTCATTTTCCCGAAAGAATTAAGTTACTGATACGGTTTTTGTTCTTGCATTTCATAAGCCAGAAATGTCTATCACTTGGAGAGAGAGAGAGAGAGAGAGAGTGAGTCAAACTTAATGACACTGAATGAATGACCTTAGGGTAGCTGTTTATTTTTAAGGTGTTGAAAAAGACATGGAAATTTGTAACTCTTGGCAAACCAAATCAGAATGACCTCTAGCGAACATTTCTCGCGCAAAAGCCAGGTCTCTTATCTCGGCTGCAGATTTCTTCTTTATTTATCCATGCATAATAAATTGGGTTGTATTTAATTCAAGAAAATTCTTCGTTCTATCTTGTGTACGACTGACGCATGGAATGTCAGCGAAAATCAAATAAAATCTTTAAATTATAATAAAGTTTGACCTTGAAACAGAGTTGAAATAATTTCAAAAGCATATATATACATTTGTGGTATCTCTCTATTATATAAACATGCAGAGAGCAAATATCTTCATACCTGTATGAAGTTTTTCGAAGGTCATAGGTCATTACGTGACCTAATCACACAGCGCAGTAATATCTCTATTAAAAAGACTTACTCCACTAAGCAATATAGCATGTTTTTCATGCATAAAAATGTACAAAATACGCAAGTAAAATAATAATCATTTTATTTACAATGTAAACGAGTATTTAATACAGTTCTTGATCGATTTTACATAGAGAAAAGAAAACTACGTGTTATAAGTTTCATGTCTGAGCTGCATAGTCTCAACATTTACCCTTATTTTTCTCGCAGACCTCTGAATGCTATAATTTTTTTTCATTAAACTTTACTCACAATAAATTTGAAAATCTGTTGAAAAATATCAATGTAATGCAATCACGCCACAAACAGCTGACAAACACTGCACTTTGGAAGTTCGGTAGGCACACCTCCATCATCGAGATCGTTGTGACGTTGTCTTAACAATGTAAGCTGTCGCCAGTGTCTCCATGTCAACATCATAAATTAATAAATATGCCTTACTGAAATCGTAGAATTTATGTTTTTGATCAAATTTTGTACTTGGTTTCAAGTTAGCTGGTCCGGACAAGTGTCTCCATCCATCCCTTTCCGATCGAAATTCCTCCAACTTTTTAGTATCAAACATCGGACGTGTTTCTTGTGTTTTTTTAACATCGAATATGGGTTCTCATGAATACAAAAATTTCCAGACACCAATATGCTCACTATAATTGATCACAAGTAGCCTTTCACAGAATATTCCCTTCAAAACAATCCTTTGCCAGATGAATTTGAAGCGTAACCGCTTTTCAAGCCGATTTACACCTAGCGTAATTTGTCAAATTCTACGACGTACAGTAAGTGCAATATTTATATTCGATTACATTCGATTGTCCGTCTCAAATGTATATATAAGTAATAAATAACAAGTTTAAAAACTTCAATGGGAATTGAAGTGGGTCGGTACGTGATCAAATCTTCTGAGAAGGCCTTCGGCCTTCACAGGATTTGATCACGTGACCGACCCACTTCAATTCCCATTGAAGTTTTTAAAACTTGTTATTTATTTCTTAAATATTTTAACGCAAAAGTCATGACAACACAAAATTATTATTCCCGATGAAGTGAAAAACGAAACTTAGATCTGTACTTCCTTTGTATAAATTTAGTAACAACTATCCAGGGGTGCGTTCAAAAGTGTATAGCGGCTACGTAGCCTCTACATAAAGCTGCGATTTTGAACTATATGCTAGCCTAGTTGCGACGTAGGGGGAGTTAGCATAAATGTTTGATGCTAAGTACCATATACAAGATGGCCTCCTTAGTTAACAGTTCGCAGAACACAGAATTTTAACAAAAAAGGGGTTGTTTTCTACATCTCATCGAATTAAATGTAAATTTACACATATATTTTTGCTTGAAATAAACTCTTTGTTACAAAAATGAGTTCTTACTGATATCTTTTTTATCCGAAATCTAACACTTAGCGGGTAGGCTAGCTGTACATTCTATAGATAGATATCTACCACCTAGCTTAGGTTAGCCGCTACGATATTGAACGCAGCCCTGGTCTTAAAAAAACTAATTCGGGGAAATTTTGGCCCCCACTTAACGACACAATTTTATGTGAGATATTTTTCGGAAACAAATTGAAATCATACAAGTTTGTAACCGTGACCTTTGACCTAAAATTCAGTAGAGGTCATTTTTAGCTGTAATAGGGGTCTGTTTAAGTTTAAAAGTCAACACTGTTCAGGCCCGTAGGAAGCAATTTCACTTTGAGGGGCCACAACCATACATTTTCAGTTGAGGGGGCATTATCGACTACCAAAATTCCTTGACAAGCAAAAAAAAAAAAAAAAGGTCACCAGACGTTATTATTGAGGGGGCACAAGCATGTAGTAGCTATGTTTTCTATAGTATTCTATATATCGGCAAAATTATTGGGGGGGGGGCACGGCCCCCCGTGCCCCCCCCCCCCCCGGTTCCTACGGCCATGCTGTTTTATTGTAAAGACGCAGAGAGAACTAAGGAATCCTCTGAAAACTATTTTATGAAATATTTGAGATATTAGATAGTAGGGAAGGAGAGTAAGGAGTAGAGAATGCACCCCCTTGTCCAACCTCGCACTAGACTGAACCCTTGGAAATGTTGTCTTAGGAGACTTGGATCTTAGTACATGCATATATATGGAAGGATCAGGTCTTTTGGGTTATTTTACTGCATGTAGAGTCTACGTCTTGGTTAATATAATAAAAAGCAATTTTTTCTTAGCACACTAATATCAACTGGGTTAATTTGGATTGTTCTTTCTAATGTGCATTCATATTTATTTTGTTCATTTACAAGTACAGTGTAACACGTACTTCCCCCTTTTGGTAAATTATACACATGCAATTTCGCCAGAGCGCCCTTAATTTATATGTGAATGTTAACTACATTAATCATTTGTCTTGCTTTTTACACCGTTTTACCGCGATTTAAAAAAAATCATTACAAAGGGGGGAAACAGTTATCATTCCTGAATTAAATCTAATTCAGCCAAACAGTTTAATCATCGTCATTCACGAGATTCAAGAAATACGTGAATTATGTTTTTAATTTTAAATGTATTCGGCTTTGGAATAATATCGGTATGTGTTTATATAATAGGCTTCTATATGGCAGGATTTGGAGTCCAAAGGCCGACTATACACGGATTCCTCTCTATTGAATACTATGCAGTAATGACATATAAATTTCTTCCTCAATAATAACACCTGGCTTATCATGTTCATCGATTTTTTATGTTGTAGTTTAAAGTATCATAGCACTTTGTCCATACCCTAAGGAAAAACCCCGAGGACTTTCTTATCCAAAGGATATCCAAAAAACATTAAAACATTAGAGATTTCTGGATATGAAAATTGCAGAGAAAAGGCGATGATTCCTGATTTACCGGTCACGTGGCTACTCAGTAGAGGAGATGGATTAAGGGGTGTTAAATCGCCGATATAATTATTGGACATATTTAAAAGCTGTGCATTCATTCATTAGATCTGCACCGTTTCGGGTAACCATTGATTGCAAGGGGAGTTTTAATCATATATTCACTTAAGAGCACATGTAAGTACTAATTTAATACCTACTTTTCTCTTTACAAGCAGGAAAGGAATTGTTATACTCAGAGCTGGTTTATATTAACAATATACAGGGTGTTCTGGGTCTTCAGCTGTTTGTTTTGTTTATACGAAAAGAAATAGGAGTCTTTCTCCTGTATAAAAATCTGGTATGGCACACGTGTGATCGACAATGCATAATTCAAGGATAAGAAATAAGAAATCTTTTTATAGCATGCTTATATAAGTGTTATAACACATCAGGACTTTTTTAAAAAAAATCTTCATATCAAAACGTGAAGTGGCTAATCAAAGCTACTGACGCTCGCACGATGCGGGCGGTATAACATTCACTTGAGGGAAATATTACTCAGGAAAAAACTAAAATATTTACGAAATGTGTGTAAAGACGACTGTGGGTGTTGGAATACTTGAATAAGGATGTCGAAGTTAATGTTTAGTGTGGCTGACTGATGAGCACTTTGTATAAAAATATAATATTCTAAGGGTTCTCGGAGCATGTGAAATGTTACAAAGACACATTGTGTTACAGACGGATTTTTTTTTTTGAGCTGTGTATATCTAAAAGCTCTCAAATTAGTCAAAAGATATTTTCATCCACTAACCCTTTTTCTTCGATATACTGCTCCAGTCATGTATTGAGAAAACATTATAAGGTACGTTAATTTCTTTAGTGGTTAAAAAATTGCACTGATAAAAATAGTGGTTGTTCAAGGTTGCTTCTTACACAGTGAACATATTTTCGACGGGGGAAAACGAGGAAAAATTAATAGATTTGTAAACAATATAGTTTTCAATGCTCCTTTCTTTTTGGTGTAATATCAAGAACTCATAACGCAATTCTACTCTCATCTTCTTGGACTTATCTCAACAACAATGAATTGACGTAGACTATCTAAACACAACTTAATGATAGGAGACCGTAATTAACCCTCTGTCTATTTGATCAGATTTATGACATACCACGAATCCTCTTCAGGGACACCCCCTTCACGGAGGAGGCATGGTCCACAATCTAGCTATAAATTGAGTTTAACGACTTATCTGATGAGCCATTCTTACAACTAGCTTAATTTGAACTGGCCATATTACGGAACAAGAATATACCATTCGTTGTGTCGTCTAATCAATAGTAATTATTCATTTGCTGCCTGCCTTTAGGTTCAGGGTCAATTTAAAGAGAAATAATTGTCGTCTGGAAATGACATTGTGTCTTTTTGCAGAGTTTTGTCTCCCCTTAGACTTGTCATCTACATACGGTAATTAGTGGTGCCTTTTATGCCTTTGAACCGATTACGAGATAACTCAAAATTTTCTCAAATAATATACTCATACAAGATTTCCCTTTTTTTCCTGAAGTTATCCGAGAAATGACTTACAGTAGGATTATTTATTTATAATAATACTCGTCGACAAGGAAAAGTTTCACACAAGAAAAATGTCTGAAATAGCAATGCAAATCGTGAGCAATATTCGTCCGTAGATCAAGGTTTTTTAAAATTTATTTTTCCTTTTGCCTTTCTTCTTGTTGACAGCATGAACTTAAATAAATCGGGGTCACAATAATATATCATTCTGGCCACTGTATACTTCAGTTCCTAAAGCACATGAATGACAAATGAAGTACAGCATATCTTGACTGACCCATCACATGTAATGTCTTTGAGATTAATCTTAGGGAGATGGATCCGAAAAATAATTTAAGTGTACAAATTTATTTTTTCTGTAGTTTTTGAGAGAGAGAGAGAGTCATACTGTATAACGTTGCCAGAATACATGACAAACCCTTACATCGAAGGGGGAAAAATTAAACTTCATGAAAGATCAATAAACGTATTTCGTGCAAAAGAACTATTCTTCTCATCCCAAAACCCATTTACAGTGGTAATGACTTCGTATTTATTTATTTTTCATAAAGAACGCAATTTAGTAATGAAGTATCTCACGAAAGATTAAAAATAGTAAAAGAAAAAACCCTGTCGTTTCCATATCTACTACGACCCTTTCCCTGGTACACAAGAGAATTATTTTGTTTAGCTGCAGGCATAGAGCCATGTAAATCAAACCTGGTCACGTCCGTTGACAAACGTATAGAATTTTATAGGAGGAGTCTTTCAGCAATGAACTGACAGAGGACGAACATAATAATTTTTTTCTTTCTTTTTTTTTTTTAGTGGAAACGGGGCCCTCTGACGTTTTCGGATGAAATCATGGCGATGGTAACACATAATGGACAAACGATCGGGATAACGGAGTACGTATCTCTTATTATTGAAGCAGCGAGGAAAATTATCGAGAAAGAACAACGAGAAAAAGGAATTTTAGATAAAAGTGGAATGTCTCTTGCCAGCGCGGACGCCCAGGAAGACAGGTTGGCCAGCAGCGAATCAGAATTCCCAAAAGAAATGGAGGAAGCTTCGACAAACTCTCTAGGTAAAATTCGATCAATTACATATTTTCAAAATAAATAAATGACTGAAAAATGTAAGATCTAAGCCCTTAATAATGAAAGTAATATAACATGTTTCTCTCGCTCTCAATTTCCATTAACTTCTGCAACAATTCATCTAATGTTTAAATAGAGTCGATGAGATAAAAATGTCACAACTTCCAGTCAAATAAACTAAACAGTTTGTTAGATATGATAAATAATAGTTATGTAAAACACGTAAATAGATTTTTGAAGAGTGTGTTAAAGCTTTCAATGCCGTTGATTACTCAGAGGGTGGGGAATGCGTTCAGAGTTAATAGACCCCGAACAGCAACATTGAAATCCATATGGAAAAGATAGCCATTCATGGTCAAAATGGGATCTGCAGTACCTAGTGTAATGTTTAGCAAAAAGGGATAACACAGTGGTGATAAATGTCAAACATTTAATGAGCTAACGATTTTTTCCCCTGCAGATGATATCATTGTTCAGAATAAATGAAATGTATACACCCGTCCTGTTTTGAATACATGTATTTGATTTCCATGAATGTAAACAGACAACATCGAAATTTTTTTTTTTGGGGGGGGGTGTTCTAGTTCTGTATATCTTTATTCATTTTTTTAATTTCAGACACAAATTCAGTGAAATTACGTTTACCCGATGGAACTCTGCAGTCGGTGGAAGATTACATCATCGGAATTATAAAAGACGCCAGTGATCAGATCGAAAAAGAACGTCAGAATGCGAGTATAAGAGCAGACGACACCCTTGATAAATCAGCTGTTGGTGCTAACTTGCAGACGCCTTCTAAGACTGAACCCATCAGTAATACATGTGAAAAAGACTCAACACGTAAGGGAAATTTACAAACAGTTTGAAATTTTTTGTCCATAAATATTAGATATTTCCCTAAGTGCTAGATAAGAATAATTCAATTACTTTGGGTGTTTCCCAACACTAATTATGACTTAACACACATACTGAATTTAACAAGATTCTACTGCAAAATTTAATCAGTTTTTATTAGATGAAAAATTATGTATACTTTATCATTTTTACTGCAGCAAAGGCAGCTAAACCCAAAGTATCAAGTCCAAAGCAAGGACCTGTTTCAAAAGTTCTCAATAGGATCTTCAAGGTAGTTCAAACTTGAGAAGGCTGTGAATATGATTACAACAATAAGTGAGATTTTGATATACATAAAATTTTTTTGAATATGTACTTCCTTCCTCATGGGAGGCAATAGAACATTGAATCCTTGAGCCATAAAAAAAATTTACAAGAATTTTTTCTTCTTGGTAACCGGTAGCAGTGTACATGAAAACGAAATATCTGCATTCTATTAACATTTAGTGTTTATGATAAACTGTTTTGTCTAATCTTCACCTTGGCATTTGGATATTGATTTTAATCATAAAAAGTTTATCCAAAACACTTATTGTGAAGTGGACATTGATAAACATTTATTAAAGGAATCCTTAGTTTTCATAAACACACTCTATCTTATCTTCTTTTCAGAGAGGTAAAACAAAGGAAAAAGAGAAGCCAAATGAAGGAATTATCAACGGATTTGACGATTCTCTCACATCAGAGAGAGGTACCTAATTAATCTCTCCTTGACAGGGAAAAATCAATACCCAGAATGGATTTATTTCACTGTCATCATCTTGCACTCTCAACCCCATCATTACTTCCCCATTTGTTTTTCTATGTGACAAAAAGGGAATTACTAAGTGCCAAACCATCACAGTTGTCTTCAGCATTTTAAATCCTGGTCTTGAATCTGAAGCCTTAGTTTGTTTATTACTTTGCCTTTTTTTATGAACAAGGAACTTAGGCACACTAAATTTGTGTCTTCTATCTGAATGAAGCTACTTGGTTATTACATGCACTTCATTTATTTTCCACTGAGAAGGATTTCTCCCTTAAGATATATATTTTAAGGTTAAAAAAAAACAAAACAAAACAAAAACAAAAAAAACAAAACAAAACACTTCAACCCTACTCATTGTTTTTAAAACCACAATGCTAATGAGAAGCTCTCCATTTGATCTATATAATCAATACATCAATTTTCAAAATCAAATTACTAGAAAAAATTTGTACTGACTATTTTTCATTTCTTTTTATTTTGGACAATTTTTTTTCTTTTTCTTTGGTTCATGATAAAAAAAATATTCCACCACCAACATTCAGTATTTCTGTCGCAGTATATCACTCGATTTCTATTGATTTTAACTCAGTATCAACCTGTGAATGAGAACTTATTTCAAACAAGTCCTATTCACTTACAAAAAAAAAAAAGATACATGTACATGTAATTCAAAAATAACAAAAAAACCCTCCTAAATAAATAGAATTAAAAAAGGATCACACTTGATACCCCCAACCCGTCTACAACCCAGAAATCTACTAAAATTTGACCTACAAATACAGGAACCAAATTACCTCTGGTGATTGATTTTTGTTGTTAATGGTAGTTCTAGCAATCAGGCAATTACACCAGTATTTTTCTCCACAATGATGTGAATGATTTGAGAGCCATTTGATTTTTTATATTGAATTTCTCATATCAGTACTGTAAGTGACTGTGGTTCTGCATTGATCAGGAATATTCTGTGGCTTTTGATAAAGGAAGATCAAGTATAAAACGTGAAAAAAATCAATCATAAAAAGGATATAAATTTATTTATAATTTGAAGGGAAGGGGGAAAAAACTTTCTTTAAAGTGATTAAAGAATCGTTTCTGTGATATATAGTTTACATCAATATTTGTAATTAAAATACCAAAAGTATTTATTATTTGCAGAAAATTACTAATGTTACAGAATAAATACTGCTATTATACAATCCACTAGAATAAAAAAAATATTGTTACTTAAAACTTAATCTGTACTGTGAAGTACTTCTGCATCATCATATTTTTTATTTTTCTATGTCCTTAAAACAATTGAGATGCTGAAAAAAAAAGTACTGCATGATTTATCTTCTGTATTTATTATGATTCTCTTTTTTTCAGCCAAAGAAGAAGAAAATACCCCCTCAAAACCTGAAGAAAAGTCCCCCTTCAAACCTGAACCAAGTTCTCCAAACAGTGTTCACAATGAAGAAATCACTGTTCACACAGAGAACCACGAATCTCCCAGCAAAGACAATAAACAAGAAATTCCCAAAGGAAAAGTCAAAGTCCAAAAGAAAAACTCCCTCAGGAAAATGTTGTCCTGTTTCTCTTCCAAGGCAGCTCAAGCAGACTGATCTACGTACGTACGGAGTACGATATCCGGACAAATCCTAAGCTTATATTTTGGATTGGCATGTTTCTATTCTGATTACATTTGGCTTGATCACAAACATGCATTACATGGATATTTATTACATTTGAATCCAATATTTGCATTAATAACTACATGGAGAATTCATGCAGTTCTAAACCAGTATCCTCATCCTCCAAAAAGAAGATAAGATTTTGTAAAGTGGAAATGTTTTTGTGCCATAATGAAAGGGTGTGAAAGTTTAGAAACACTTCATAATGAAGAATGTAAAAGAAATTGCTTTTCAATTCATGGATTCAAGAAAAGAGAACAAATTTTTTACTCAGTAGTATACAAGCTTAGATGGGATTCTTTAAGAAATAATATTTCAAATTGAAAGGATAAGAGAAATTGAAAGGAAATAGATTGGTTTTCAAGTAATATAAAAACTAGTTGGAACTGATGTCAGTGACAGTATCATTATAGCATTACTGCAGTGACAGCACAGTTGTGGTTGTTGTGAAAGTAAAAAACTGACGAATGACACCTGTCACTTGTGTTTTGCAAATTGTATAAAAATAATTTTGATGGCGAACTGACAATTGATAATAATAATGCAGCAGTATTGTATGTACCTACTGGTATATTAATGTTTGAATAACTAGAAAGACATATACATGTTTCTCATTTTTTTATGATCACAGACAATTAAATCTCTTTTACTAGTACATGTAATACCTTTTATCTAATTTTACTACAGTATTATACAAAGAGTTCTTAATATGGTGAGGAAATAAAGAACTACTACTTGTTACACCCCCCCCCCCCTCCTTTAAATATAGCTAAAATCAAGGATTGGCAATAAATAAAATGACTCATTTTGTATTCATCCTTGAAAATTTTTTTTTTTTTTTTTTTTTTTTTTTTGTTTTGGTTGAGTTTTTGATGTTCAAATTATACACCACTCTGTAAAATGCTCTAAAAAATGTAACTGTATACATGTACAAAACATTTACTTATAATTCATTTTCATAGTAAATTTTTACTTCATTGATAACTAATTTCATTATGATTTATTCTTCAAAAACAAACAATATCTATTTATAGAGTTCTCCTCATGCCAAATCATGATTCAAGTGTTGTAAAAATAAAATGGTGTAGCATGATTAAGTATTTTTCTTGTATTTTTTTTTAATACCAATGTAAAAATGGAAACACTATAACAAGATAGTTGATATAGGTCAGTTGTTTCTGTGTGTGATAATGTGTTAATCATTATCACAATTTACAGCTACAATTGCATCCGAGTCATTTACTGAGTCTATCTCATGTACTTTATTTCAAGAAGGTATTTCATATGCCAGTACTATACTTTCATTGTCAAGGTGCTTAATTTTGTCAAAGTTATGTACATAGATATTTTATTCATTAGTAGTTGTTTCAATGGTTGGACATAATTAGCATTAAAAAACTGTATTCTACCGTCTAAGGAAACAATTGAAATATTGTACATTCAAATCCTGTGAATAATCATAAGATGAATTTTTTTTCAAAATTGACTAAGAAAAATAAAAATGCATATCAAAGAGTTTATCTTTTTTAATTAGGAGAAAGATGGGGCTATAATTTTGCATAAAATTGGTTTTCTCTTACTTTTATGTTAAAATGTCTTTTGCTATGTGCAATGAATATTTTAAACAACATGCCGTATATTCTTTTCCATACAGTTGAACTTCATTATCTCGAATGCCAATATCTTGAATACAAGGGATATGTCCAAGTGAGTTGGCAGTCCCAATAACTCATTCTTTATGTTTTTCTTGAATCATTGGATATCTCGAAATTTAATTTTGGTCCCATTGAGTTCGAGATAACAAGGTTTGACTGTATTATATTTGCAATAACAAGTTTCTATATACCTCTCTAATTTGCTGTCTCGATACAATTTATGTCTTATCCTTTTTTTAAAGATGCATTAAATCTACCACCTGGTACAATTGTGTTTATAATACATGTCTTTGTCTTATCTAAGGTTCACTGTCCCTTTGTTCACCCATATAAAATTTTCCTTTACTGCTAACGATTATTTTTCAAGAGAAATCTAATTTATAATTTAAATACTCACATTTTCAGCATACAATGGGGGCAAAATTAGACAGAAATGTCCTTTTAACATGTCAATTTTATATAGGAATAATAGTGATTTAACTCACTGAGAACTATCTCTCTTAACAGAGGGTCAGTGAACCTTAAATTCAAATTTTGTTTACGTTTGAATTCAAAAATTGCAATAAAAGACAAAGTTTTACACATTTGTTTCTTCATTTTATCATATGACCTGGCTAAATTAAATAATTATTTGGCATAGCATTACCTTTTTTTTCATACTGAACATACACATACTGGTATATCAACAGAATTACAATAAAACTTATTTAGTACACTAAAACTGTATCTTCCCTTCAAATTGCCTAAATTCAAAAGTTGGGATAATATTTTTTTTTAAAGAACAAGTGATAAGGCTTGACTGTATCTTAGGCCTTTGTTTAACAAAGAATTATGGCCCAGACATTTCTTTTTTAAACTGAGAAACATTTTTATTCTGAAGCCAAAGGCACTGGTAATGGTCAGATCTGGTCGAGAAACCTATCATTTTATAATGAAACACCCATGCTTATTACCATCAACTTAGGTTAGACTAGAGGCACTGTGAGCAATGAGCTCACAAAATGACCCCCCCCCCCTGCCATATGAGTATAATGATAAAGTCCATATTTTGCTATGGGAGAGACCAAATATGTGTCTGATCAAAATGTAAAAGAGGAGATGCACAATGGCACTATGTAATAATTTAAAAGATTTTAGGAAAGTCTCATTAAATTTTATTCAGTGATATAGGAGGAGTTGTGGATAAGAGATGGGTACCCCACATATTATATGAATGACAGTGTCTGTGTTTTGCTGTGGGAAACCCCAAACATGTGTGTCTAATCAACACATAAAATAGGAAGGATAGATATAGATGGACAGACAGACACCCCCATTACTACATACCCTCACTTCTCAAGCAGGGGGTACAAAGATTTGAAAAAAAAAAAAAAAGGAAAAGGACAGGCATTTCAAATCTAACAAAGATATGTTCAATAAAAATGCTAAACCTCTTCAATTTCCTTGCCAAAAGCCTTTTTAATTTGAGTCTGAGATTAATGGTCAGGGTTAAACAGGAATCTCATATGTAACTACACCCTAAGATCTAATATGCATAACTTATGGAGCATCACACCTTTAGATCACTGGCAAACATATTCCAGTGTTTGAAATTATTCCCAATCAAGGGGTGTAAAAATTGAAGCTGTGGCCTGGTGCAACTTTGTGACAGACAGACAGCAAAGGGAGACGAAAACAAGATGTCTTAACTATCATTCTGTTTAGAGAAGAGAAAAAAACTTGGTTAGAACAATACTCTTTGAAGGGAAGACAAAATGATACATGATGTAAGTAGACATGCATGAGTTATCTCTCCTTGAATTTTAATCCATTGAAAAGCTGGTTTGTGGATATGTATGGTAAGAGAAAAAGAACATATTTTTTTCCCACAAGTATAAAAACTCCTTTAGAACATCTGATCTATTAATGTACATTATCAAAATCTTTACAATTATTTGTATATATAACAAGATTGATTCTGTTGATTACTGTTGATTCAGGCCTGGTTTAGTAGACTTCTATACATGCGTATCGAGTGAGCCTTCCTCCTCGGATTTCCTTGGTTCGACCACAGTGACGTAGTATCGTTAACACTGACCGCCCAACACTGTCCAGTTTGAAATTAGTAAATTCCTTGATATCAGTATCCACTATGAAGTGCTCTCCTGTGAAAAAAGTATTTCAGTAAATTATTGTTAATTATAATAAGTCATCAAACATATCAATCTGATGCCTTGATCAACTTCCACTTTTGATTATAATCAAACTGTCACTTGTGATTTCTTTGTAACCTGAATTTTTCTTAGATATATAACATAAGTTTCTTAAAATTATTCCAAATTCAATTTCCTTTCAGGGGCAAAATTAGAGGGAATTAGTTAAGACAGCCTTCATAGATGTAAATATACAGTCAGTTCTGCCTAAGAAAAATGAGAGGAACTGAGGGTTTCTGAAGATGGACAGCCTTATGTATTTTTGAAAGTTACAAAAAAGCACTAAATTGATTCATCTTTAAAGTATTTCAAAGGTACAAGCAGATAATAGGGAGAGTCAAAATAAATTTATAGACAAAGTGCACCAATCTATAGACAAAGTGCACCAATCTATAGACAAAGAGCACTAATTTATAGACAAAGTGCACAAATTTTCATTGTTTTATTGAGCTACTGCCGACTTGATTGGAATATAAACAAGGTACTGAGGGTTGTGGAGTCAACTCAATATTAAAAACTGAGCAAATGACATAGTGATCAATGATGTTTACTGAAGAAATCAGGATTAATATTAATGAGTTTTGAACGTGTTTAAAGAAGGAATTTTTGAGAGTGGGTGGGTCAGTGGGAGACTGGGAATTTAAATTCTAACAAAACTAGATAAAGCAACGAATGCCCCCGCAGGCAGCCAAAATTTCATATGCAATATTTAGTTTTAAATTTGTTTGCACATAAGATTTTAATTTCTAAGTTCAAGGTGCATAACTAAGTTAAAAACTATGCAATATTAACCTTATTAGGCCAAAAAAATTAATCAATAGTTTCTCAGGCACCGCCGCATCAGGTCAAACACTGCCGCATTGATCAATTTTATTGATATGTTGAAAAGGGAAATAACTCAATTGTTGCCAAGATAATGAATGGAAAGTCAATGATGACGGAATGATGGAACAGGGTAACACTTATGACGGGGGGCATAAAAACGACCTTATGTAAAATTGCCCTTAAAAATGGAAAGTCAATGATGACAGGATGACCGAATGAAGGAACAGGGTATCACTATATGCCCCCAGCTATTTTATGGCTGGGGCATTAAAACATGACCTTATGTAAAATTGCCCTTAAAAATGAGAATTTTATTCCAGAAACTGTATTTATCTAAAACGCTGTGGTGCTTAACCAATAAAATGAATATATAACTTATAATTAGTTTTTTTCAAACCTATGTCACAAATAATTGAGTTTAGATGAGATGATGATGAAGATGATTTATTTATCTGGACAATTTGGCCAGGAACCAAAGTGTCCAGACTAATGAAGCTCCACTAGTATATATTTTGGTATCAAAGGAAAAAATTGACTGTGGACCCTGAAGGTCGAACACTACAGATTCTCCAAGTGTTCCTTAGCTTACATACATAAACGACAACTTTAAAATTTACAGGGATCAATGTCACAAGCGTCCATCCCCGAGTCGTTACTTACCTTTGGTGTCCTTGGACTCCTGCTCTTTGTATCTCTCATATCGCTTCCTGTTCACATCATTAAGTGTGGTTCTCTTCATTCCTAGGATTTTGTACTTCTCACTCAATGCCTTATTCAGTTCATCAATGACAGTGTTTACCTGATTGTAATTCAGTCTTCCTTTCATGTATCTAAAACAGAGAAATTAACAAGACCTTAAAGTTCCTGTTCTACTCTGAAAAACTTGGGTGAATGTAGTTTATAAATGATGACTATTGTAAGGTTTTAAGCACCATGAAAAGATTGTATATCCCTTTTAAACATGTTCCTCTTACTTTGGAACCTCCTCAAATTCCTCCACAGTTATGTAAACCAGGGCAGGGATGTAAACTGCCTTTGCGTGCTTCCTTCCTCTTGAGCGACTCCTTTTATTTGGGATGTTTTCCTTGTCATTGGAGGAAGAAGATGCTACACTTGTTTCGCTTTCACAGGATCTATTGTAAAAGCCGATAAAAAATATCTTTTGAATACTCTACCAAACCTAGAACACTGACAAATTCATACAGGGCCTTACAGTATGCTAACACAAATAATCTTAAACTTCCTTTAGACATAGTCCCTTTGGAGTGGCCTCAGATGATTTTTTTTTGGGGGGGGGGGGGGGGGAGGGAGGGGTTCATTGTGTAGTGAATATGAAGTCTGCATGTTGAAATAAATACTCAATTTTTTGTACCACATTAAAGTTTGCTCATGAGAAAATGAACTATTTGGACCCTGACCTTTGAATGAATAACCTCAAATCTACAGGTTTTAACAATTGTTCACCTAGTAAAGAAAAATGTTCTTTTCAGTTTAAGAAATTGTACCATAGTTACTGTAGAGCATTTCTTAATTCAAAAATGGCTGTATCAATAGTCTTGGCCCTTTGGTCTTGACCTATATTCAACTCAAGAGATGTCTTCTTCAACATATCTTTATCTATGTAGTAACCAAAAAAATTTACAAGGTCTATTCAAACAATCTTGTCATTTAATCTAGAAGTCTTCCTCAAAATATCTTCCACCTTGAATGTAATAAAAAAAGGTCTGTAGATTTAAATGTACCCAAGTTTCCACATGACTCATATCACATAAAAGTGATGGTCAGACAGACAACTCGATAGACAGACATACAGACTTGGTGATTACTATACAATATCAACAGCTCAATGCTGGGCTCCCCTAATATTGATGAAAAACATGTTTTCTTTTTGAACAGAAAGTTTCAAAAACTTAAAATGGTCTAATATACATTGGAATATAAATAAGCAAAAAGACAAGGAATCCTTGCGCAACAAAATTTAAGCATTAATTTCTTTCCTATGTAACTTAAGTTTAAGTTAATTTTCTGTTTTGAAGGATCTTACTGTAGTGGGGTTGGATCTGTTTTCACTGGTTTTGGAAGATGTGGAGGAATATTGTCCATCAAATGCTGCAGACTGCTGATATCAAGTGAATGTGTCAAAGCCTGTAATTAATAAAACATATATTATCAAAGATTATGAGGCTGACCTCCACAAATGTTATCTATAAGTAAAGCTGTCTCATATCAATTACTGTAAACATCTTTAATGCCACATTTAAAATTTCACTGTTTTCTATGTTGGTACATTTCACAGTGGTTTTAATTTCACTGTCACTGAATTTCTCATTCCTAAATATTTGCAATTGTAAAAATACTCTTTCAAAACAAAGTAGGTTAAGGTAATTTATTTAAAACAAAAGTTTCCAGTAAATAACTTTAAACTGGCGTTGTTATTAACAATGGATTTCCATTAAGATTTTCAAAAATTATCTATTTTACTTTTACAGAATAGGAAAACAGGATTTTTAGAGCATCAAGCGTGTATTTGAGATATAAATCCTATATTGATATGTCGACAATATTCATGATATATTGATGAAAATTCTTTGATTGCAAACATAGTGAAACTAAAACCTCCACAACGTACTCCACTTTTACAGTAAATGTTCTGGTAATGTGCATCCCTAGATGCAATATCTATGCAAGTTTGGTCCAGGTGCGGCTAACAGTTATTTTGGAATGGGCTGTGCCAAAAACTTGAAACTGAGATGCAGTCGACAACAGTATAGCATAAGCTCATTCTGACTTCATCAGGTTGAGCTAAAAATAAACTAGATTTAGGATACAGCATATTTAACAAATAAATTATTTGTTTTCAACATTTTCAAATACCCCTTTTACATATGTACGCTATACAACCCTGTGAAACACAATGGAAGAAACGCATTGAAGAAAGCATGGACAGAAGAAAATTGTTTCAATTGTTTGCACCTCAACCTGTACAAATTCTTATGAAAATAAAATGTAAATGTTATACAACCAAAGAATCAGAAAATTATTGGGGTCTTTACCTAGGCCTCTTGTTGGGTTCAGTGGACCTTGGGTAAGTGTGCAGATTAGGTTTTGGGTGGCAGTTCTGAATCTATTCAACTTTATTGTGGGTGTACAATGTATACCAATTTTAAAGAGAACATGCTTGATTCAAATCTGGTCAAATTTGAAGAGTTCGTAACAGTATAAAATTTGACATGAAATTGCTAAGAAAAAAAAAGAAATTTGCTGGGGACACCCTAAATCTTCACTATATCCATGAATTTGCCACATCTGTGTTCATACTAAACAAGCGTTACTGTCTTACCTTTTTTATCCAGTAAAATATTCACCGATTTATGAGGACCTGACCATGATATTAACTGGTTCATTATATATACACAGTTTTAACATGAAGCATGAATGATATCAAACCTTCATTTCATCCACTTTTTGCTGTCTTTGTTTCAAAACAGATTTAATATCTACAAGAATTGACGAGAGTGTATCAATATCTTCAGAGAGGTGTTCAATAAGTTCCTGGCAGGTACTCTCCTCCTCCTCCCCCTCCTCAGCTCTCTTGTTCTCCTTCAGGTCAATCATAAAATGAATGCCTTCTAACTTCTCACAAAAATGATTCATCAGCATTGGCAAACTACCCAATTCCATAATGTTTACCTACATTGAATATTAATTAAATAAACATCAACATAATACACAAATCGAGGGCAACAATGATAAATGCATACATATTACATAAACATTGAAGTATCCTACACTGCAGTTGTGTTGTTACTGATGAAACTACCTCCTTATAAATTCACCAAAGAGTGTTTCAAGCTCAAACCTATTTTCTATCAAGTTCAAATATACAAGTGGTTTATCATTTCTATGCATAGTCACCACGGAATTATACTTGTCATACTTACAAATTAGGAATGTAAAATTCGTAGTTTTTCAATTGTTTTTATGTGCACTTGTAACCATTCAGAGACCTTTAAATTAGAAATTTCCAGTCAGCAATACCAATTTCATTTAACTTAAAAAAGTGAATAGAAAGAAATGACCCCACTATCAACATTTTTACCCAAGTGACTTTCTAATTATTTCATAGTAAATATATTTGCCAACAGTATTTTCAGAGATATGTCTGTGATTTCATTGGTACCTTTGTACGTCTTCTTTTGACATGTCATTATGTACATATTAATACAACTTTTTTTTCTGATCACAGTTTAATTATTGACTGATTCCCCAGTGTGCTGCTAAGGATTTAATAGTCATAAGAATGTTAACTGTAAATTTTACATGAAGAACTTGAAAGAGCGAGGGAAAGTTGCCTATTCTGACCTAAAATTAAGATTTGCTATTCAAGTATAGAATTAACTCCTCATAACATTTATCAAATCTTAATTTTAATCCTAATTTTGAAATTACAATTTCTTTTTCAGGAATTAAGTGTGTGGTTACAAATTAATTGCTTTACCAGTATATAGCCACAAACTTTTAGAACTCTGAGTGCAAAGTGTATTGAGGAGACATGGTTTGTTAAACTATTTTTGTCTTGTATTGCTTTCAGAACAATAACAAGAGGCCCATAGGCCACATCGCTCACCTGAGCACATTAGCTAGACAAAAGCACAAATCAGTTCAGTATTGAAAAGATTACGGGGGTGGGGTGGGGGTGGGGGCTTGAATTTTAAACTACCTGATGATGCTTTCATGTCAACATGTCAATATAACAAATGGCTTTGTTGTACTTGAGAAGATTTTTAAAAATTCTGCCTATATATTCCTTCGTAAAAATTTGATCCCCCATTGTGGCTCCTCCCTATCCCTGGGGGTCATCATTTGAACAAACTTGAATCTACACTACCTGAGGATGCTTCCATATCAATATGACTAAACATAGCTTTTCTGTTCTTGATAAGAATTTTTTTTCCTATATGTTCCTATGTAAAATTTTTGATCCCTCATTGTGGCCCGACCCTATCCCCGGGGGTCATCATTTTAACAAACTTGAATCTACACTATCTGAGGATGTTCCCATATCAAAATGACTAATCATGGCTTTGCAGTTCTTGATAAGAAGATATTTTCCTATATATTTCTATGTAAAAATTTGATTGTCCATTGTGACTCTGCCCTACCCCCGGGGGTCATGATTTGTTCAAACTTGAATCTACACTATCTAAGGATGTTTCGACATGAGTTTCATCTTTCCTGGCCCTGTGGTTCTTGAGAAGAAGATTTTTAAAAGATACTATTAATTTTTCACTAATTTTTAATTATCTCCCCTTGGAAGAGGGTGTGGCGCTTTTGAACAAACTTGAATCCCCTTCACCCAAGGATACTTTGTGGCAAGTTTGGTTGAAATTGGCCCAGTGGTTCTTGAGAAGAAGTTGAAAATGTGAAAAGTTTACAGACAGACGGATGACTGAAAAAATGTGATCAGAAAAGCTCACTTGAGCCTTCGGCTCAGGTGAGCTAAAAAGTTAAAAACTATCACTGCACCAACGTGCAACTTTTTTTTTACATTACATGCTGAAAAAATGCATATGTAGGGAAAGAGTATGACAAAATAGCTAAATCAAGCTATTTTGAATAGCTTATAAAGCTATATAGCTAAATCAAGAGATTGCGCCAGACCTGGTAGAACTCTGTTTTAGGGTTGCATGTTAATATCACCGAATCTAGATAATCCGTAATACGGGGTCATGTGACCCCGTCTACAAATGATTGGCAATAATGATGTGTTAGATCGACTAATTAGTACTTGTTTTAACTAAATTAAAAAAAAAATCCTACTTGAATCCTTTTGCAACTAGAATTTACTCTGAATTGCACTTTTTTTTCACTATAAAGCATTACATATACAAAATAACAAATTGATTTGACTTAAATATTTTTTTTCTTTTTTATAATTCTTAAAATATCATTGTTTGTATATGACTGTATATTATTTCTCACCGATGACAATGTTGTTGAAAAAATGCGACAATTATTTGTTTTTAAAATCAGCGCTCTTCTACCGGAAGTCTTAAGTTCTCGCGAGATTTTCTTCACTTCCTGGTTACAGTGTGCAACAACCTCGACAGTCGATAAATTGGGTATGTCAATAAATGATTTTATATTGTTTTTACTTTAAATATCTTGTAATTTCTGGTTCCAATTTTTGTAGTTTTTTCCCCGCTATCAATTCTGATCGTTTGAATTAAGGTTATATATAATTTTCTTTCCAGAATACCAAATAGAAGCCATCATTTCCAATCCTTCAAAATGATGGTTCAAAGACAGCGAAGGACCCGTGAGGTGACGGGTCCAACGCCTCACTCAGTTGCCATCGTAAGTAAAATAAAGCAAAAAAAAAAAACTTTCACAAAAATTTGTTAGATAAGACTAATCTTTATAGAAGTGGTCAGGCTTAATTCAGCCTTAATCTGAAGCCTAATTTCCACTTCTCTAAAGAGAATAATTGTCTAAATGGGGGGTATAATAGCCGATTTAGGATATAATTAATATTCTTAAATTGGATATAAATTTTCTGTGCAATAAAATATGGAAAAATTATTAAATATATATTTTATAATCTGCATAAATGTATATATTGAATGCAACACCTTTTGACAAGCAACTTTTTCTTTCATCTCATGTGAGTGTGATCTCGAAGACTTTCAGATCTTCTCTCAGATTAATGTACTAACAAGTAAGGTACAAAAAAAATCTTGTTTACCAAATTTGCTGCTTTTTATGTATTTTTATTTGGATTTGTGTAATCCAATTTTTTATACACTTGTATAAATATTTGAAGAAAAACTAAGATCTAAGATTCATGAAAAATCCTTAAAAAATACTGTAGTTTAAATAGTACCAGTTTTGAGCTAGGTGTTCACTGCTGTTTTAGGTTCTAATGCACAAACAGCACAAATTTCAAATTTCAAATAACAAATTGTTACAGTATTAGATTTTTTTTACATCAGATGAGGGGCCAGATTTGGCTCTTGACATACCTCATACCATGTCCTTAGCAAAAGCTTGCTAATATTTGATATTCATTTCTGTTTGAAAAGCCAATTATTAGCACTGGGGGAACGACTTTACTTTACCGATCCCCAGAAAAACACGCTAAAATATAGTGTCGCCATAGGCAACTTCAGTATATATGAGATCACGTGAGCGATCAAAAAAAATTAAAGTATGAGGTTTTTAGCCTTTTTGACCCCAAAATCGAATTCTACAGTTAAAAGTTTAGTTTAAAACTTCGTTTTTAAACGAAGTTTTTAACCTCGTTTTCTGAAAAAAGTGATTAATATTGTTTATTCAGTGAAAAGGAGACGAAAAATAATTGTCAACAGAGCGCGTGTGGCGCATGCTTAGTGCCGTTTCTTTCGTACTTAGCCATTTTTTCATGTAAACAAACCAAAGAGATGTCGTTAAAGCTGAATTAAGATCTTGCAAAAATACAGATGCAACTGAATTTCTTTATCTTTAAAAAAAAAACAAGACATTAACCCTAATCCCTCGGATGGTATGCGAGGACTAACCCAAATCTCCCGGGCGGATGCTAGACTAACCCATGTGCGAGGACTAACCCTAATCTCTCGGATGGATGCGAGACTAACCCTAATCAGTTGAAAACTTGTGCAAGGACTAACCCTAATCTCTCAGGTGGGCGCAAGACTAACCCTAACCAGTCAAAAAATGTGCAAGACTAACCCTTATCGGTTGAGTGACGTAAATCTTACGTCATAATGCAATGAGCGCGCGGATCTTGCGGATCTGGGGACCAGTAAAGTAAAGTCTACCCGCACTGGGAATTTAAGATTACCTAGTAATGAAATTAAAATTTAAAAATGTTATCATGTACATGTACTATTCTCACCACAACTGAGTATGATTCATGTTTCGTATTATTGAAATTTGGAACAATATCTTAATCAATATTCCTTAGTACTTGTGTAAGAGATTAAAGCTTACAATGGTCACTATTAGTACAAATTAAACAAGAAAAAAAATCTTGACTTTTACTATATTGTTTGCAGAAAGCAAGACCACCAAATGTCAAACCACCAGAATATTTAATACTGGAGAGAAGAAAAAAGGAAGATATGCTTGAAAATTACAGAAAAAACACACAATATATGGAATTTAATGACCTGAAAAATGAATGGGAAAGGTCAACTGACAGAAAAATCAAATTAAACACAGTAAAACGGAAAGTGGATGGTCTCTTGTTAGCTAGTCAGTTTACGATTGAGGATAGGAGAGAAAGGTATGGAATAATTTCATCCTGAGTCTGACTCAAAACCCATGTTTGACTACACTTTGTAGAATGAAAATATGATCACCAGTTTAATCAACTGTGTGCTTCTGATGATGACCCTCTTTAATTTCCAGTGATTTCAAATTCTTCATATCCATGTATGGTATCTTAATGTTATGTACCCCTCAGGTTAAGAGCAATGCTTAGAGCAGAAGAACAGGGTTACCTAAGGGAAATGGAGGCTCGAGAGGAAACAGTTTTGGAACGTCAAGCCAAAATGAGGGAACGTGCCAAATTTTTGAAAGATAAAAGAGAAGACGAGAGACTGCAATTTGTTCAACAAAAATATGATCAACAGTTCAGGTATGTGTTAAATTTTTATGTAATTAAAGTATTAAAGTAAATTGATTTTGAATTGATATCTGTTTACTACCATGAATTAATTTTCATAAAGCACTTTTACAGTGCTTTAAATTCAAGTCAGCCCTAAAGTCCAAGGCTAAAAACTTTTCAATATAGCAGATGTATTTGAAGATTTTTATGGAAATTTCATGTTAACTGTAAGAGTTTGGAATTTAGAGCAAGTTAATTTTTGACAAGAGAGAGAGATGAGCAATAAAAAATGTTGTTTGTTTGTCATGCAGTTTCATATGATTTGATTAATTTTAAAAGACTAATAATAGAAGTTGATTCAGGATACAATAGCAATTCTATGTTCAAATAGTAGCATAGTGGGTATTTTATGGTAAATAGAAGAAAAGTAGAAAAGAGGTATGAAACTCAAAGCTTTTACCTTTATTATCATATTTCTAGAAACCAGTGTGAAGAGTTAAGGTCAACAATATCAAAAAGACAACAGGATGAAGTATGTGTAGATAGACTGGAACAGCTTAGAATCAAGGAACAACTTGAGAAAGAGAGGAAAGAACATGAGGCCTTGTATGCCAAGCTCTGGGAGGAAGACATGTAAGCACTAGTCCTTTCTTCAGATTTCATATAAATCTGATTCCAGTAAGGGGGCATAACTTTTTAGTCAGAATGCTGTTTTAAATTTAGACTAAGTGATATTTTTCAGGAGAATATTTTTTTTCAATCCAAATTTTAGATTTCTCTTGATTTTTTTTTCATTTGAAAAATCAAAGTAATATAGAATGTTTCTTATCTCATTTTAAAAAGAGGATTCTAACCTTCTAATGTGATGGATTGGTAGGAGTTATTCCTCTTTCACAGTACTTTCATTAGCATTATTTTCTCACTACAGGTTGAAAAAGGCTGCTCGTGAGGAGAGAGATGCTCAGTCAGCACACGAGAGAAACCAGGAGGTGTTGTCAGTCCTCAGGAAGCAGATGGCAGCACTGGAGGAGCAGAAGGAGGCAGCTCGACGCCTCAAAGAAGAGGAGGCACAACTTCTGGTGAGAACCCCTTTTTTTTTTTTTTTTTTTTTTTTTTTTATAATAAATGGTTTGCATTTGAAGACATTTTTTTTTTGTAACATGGAATATTAAGAAATCTGAAGCATTATTAAATCAATTATGTTCAATATTTAGATTAAGCAAAATAATTTGGGAAAAAAATATTTATTGTGTTGAAACAAATGAGCTGCTAAGAGCCTCACTGAAGTAGCATTTAATTGTTTTCATTGAAATTTAACAGTACAGAATAAGATAACAAAAACAGCTTTATTTTGGTACTTGTATAAATATATATTTTGTTTTACAAAAACAGAGGGAACAGAACATTTTAAGGCAAATGGAAGAAGCTAAAGCCAGGGAAGAAAAGCTCAGACAACAGCAGGAAACCAGAGATGTGTTGGACCTCTCTCTGAAACTGAAGATGAAGAAGAAAGCCAAGGCAGAACAGGAACAGTTGGCCTTTGACCTCAAGATTCTGGAGCAACTATTGGAGGAATCTAGGAATGAGGCTATGGAACAGTTACAGAGGAAGGTATGGAAGACATTTTTTTCTGTACATTAATCAAATGTTAACACAACTACTGGTAATTTCAGTTGTGTTTAAGGAGTGGGTAATATTTTGTTGGGTTTTTTTGGTATTTAAATTATACTTAAATGAAAGGTCTAAAATACATGTTAATTTTCTTAAATAAGATAGCTTAATAACTCATATGATCTCTTACTCTATATCTTTCTTTTTAAAAGAATTTTATATTTGATGTGAACATTTTACAGAGAGAATTACGTGAAGAAGACAGACGGTACAGGGAGTATTTACACCAGCTGATGGAGGAGGAGAAAATCAAGGAGCGAGAACTAGAGAAGCTGGTCAATGAAGAAGTGGAGAAGATGTGGCAGAAGCGTCTGAACCAGTGGCAGCTGGAGAGACAAGCCAGAAAGAAACTTTTACAAGACGTAATGGCAGGCAGAGCTGTACAGATCCAAGAGAGATGTAAGTGTCCATCAATCCACCATATTCTCATTCCATAGAATAAATCTGTACAATCTAGAAAGCATCATGGTCAAAAGTCATGGATTTTCGTGTCCATTCTATTTCCACAATTTCTGTGGAAGTAGAATGGACTCAAAAACCTGTGGCTTTCAACGATGAGAAAGTAATTGAAACAAAGCATGTATGAAGTAAGGATAGATATGTTCCTTCATTTAGGCTTTCATTAAACTGAAGATACCCTCATTATATCCTAAGTGCATGATGTTATCTTGCCATTGACGTATAATAACTTTCTGTATAGGCACAACTACAAACTGACTTAAATATGATATTTTTTTAGTTATACAAATATAATGGATCTAAGTATAGATTGATCACAGAGTTTCAGACTAATCTTTAAAAACTCGACTGGTATACATTTAGAATCATTAAAGAATTATGAAGCACTCACACTTGTTATTTACATAATACAAAAATGTTAGACATACTAAATAATTCTCTTTAAAGTTTTATTCTATAAAAAAATCAATATATTTGAATGTTAGGATCATTTTGTTAAACTTCAGTGGCTGAAAATGACAGGAAGCAGAGGCAAGCTGAAGCAGAAAGACAAGAATTACTAAACACCATTGAGGAGAATCGTCGTCTAGAAGAACAACAGGCAGCCAAACTGTGGGAGAAGAACTACAACTACCAGAGAGACCTAGAGGGACAGATTATATACAACCACAGACTCCGTGAGCAGGCACAACAGAGGGAGGCAGAGGAATTCATGTTGGGAATGCAGGCAGAGAGAGAATACCAGGTCCGACTGAAAGACTGTCTGGATAATGCCGAGTATGATAAACTCCACCCCCTCAGGAGGGCCATGCAAAATAGTGCTCACTAAGAAGAAATCAACAGTATCGATTTTTTTCTTTGATTGTTGATAACATTTTTTGAAATGTTTGAATTTGAATTATTATTCAATAAAAAAATTGTGTTGGTAAATGAAAAATGCCTTTAAATGTATGCAGGTATAGTGTGAGTACAAAACACAAGAAAGCACTGTTGTATATGCTAGAACCTGTTTACCTATAAATAAATTTGTCCTAGAAAGAAAAGAAAATTGAAAATATTTCTTCAATCCTTTAAGGATTGTTCATCAAATTTTAACAGTTTACCCAGTTTCTGTGACTTTTTATAATAAGTCAGTGATTATAAATTATATTAGTGTTTTAGATATTTTTTTCAGTGGAGGAATGATTGAGAATGAGGATATGATTGGATGAATGATCTGAGAGAGGTGTGGTTGAGTAGATGTTACACTTTTTTTATTTGGCATGCAGGGATAAGGAAATGAAAGGGGAGTGTATGAGGAATGGATTAGCCAGTGTTAGTATGATACTGACTGGGGAATTCTGTCTTAAATGACTAAATGCCTGCATTTACTGTGATATGCTGTAAATATTATTTACCAGGTAACCACATTAGACACCCTACATTAAGTTTACATGTATTTACACAAACTTTACATATCAAGGTCATTGTAAAATTATATGTTACTGATTTTATTCTATACGATTTAATGCATGTGTGAAGTCTGAGTTTTTTTTCTCTTGTCTGTTAAACTCTTAATGCATTACAATTTTTTTAAGTGTTATTTTCAATGTTTGTGTTAAAATGTCATCAAACCTATACAGTTGAAGAGAAAACATTAAATCACTCTTTAAAAAAAAAAGGTATTGTTTTATGTTTGTACATGTAGTTACTTAAAACAATCAAATTGTTTTCTTTCTTTGTTAAAACAAGGATTAATGGTTGGACATTGCAGAAAAAATACATAACACCTATAAGCGGGTGTGTAAGCTGGTTATGTAAATTTTTTCTGCAATGATTGCTATCTGCTCCTCAGCCAGGAACGGTAACTCTTAAAATTATTATTTAATTAATTAAAAAAAAGTCTCAAATGAAGCTTGAAATTGAAATCTTTCCATGCAACAATTTTAGTTTCATGCGTCTCAAAATGATTCAAGGTCTTTGAAGTCTTACTTAATTTAAACAAAGTTTCAAATGAAGCTTGAAATTAAAAACTTTCCATGCAACAATTTCAGTTTCATGAATTTCGAAATGATTCAAGGTTCTTTGAAGTCTTACAAATGGTCTTGTAAAAAGTTTACATTTTTTACCCCATAAATGTACAAAAATGAATATATTTGTAGAAAAATCAAATTTCCTTTAATCTAGCCATAGATTCCAATGCTAATATTAGCATGAAATGAAATAAAAAAAATTATCTGCGATGTCTTGCAATGAAAGCACAAGCTTTTTACTGTACATATTATAAACAACTGAAGTAAATAGAAGAACTAAAACACAGTATAAGTATAAAAAAAAAATGTGTAATTTTCTTCAAATGTATGGATACCTATAACTTTTTATCCTAACTAAAAACATGTAATTTTCTTCAAATATATATGGAAACCTATAGCATTTTATCCTAGATTAAAATATATTTGTTGATTAAATTTCAGTAGAAAAATGCTTAGCCGGTGCTTTGATTTGTGTTTCCTGAAAACATACTTGAGATTTGGTAATTTTTCCTATAGAATATAATTTACTATAATGATCAACTTTGAAGAAATACCATAGGTATACAACTTCTTTGTGAAATCAGAGATATTTTTGTGGACATTTTCAATTACTTAACTGCTGATTTTTAGAACCTAAGGATCAGCCTGCCTTAAAATAATCCAATATTAACAAACAAAGAAATACATTTAATTGTTATGCCTCCTTGAAATAGAGTGTATATATTGCTTTGCACCTGTCTGTATATTGGTCGATAGACCAAGTATTGTCTGATCAATATCTTGAGAATCATTTGCTTGACAGACATCAAACTTGGTACACTGGAATCCCTGAAGAGTAGATGACCCTTATTTTCTAAGGTCAAAGGCCAAGGATCAATTACTCTTGACATTGGAAGATTTTGTCTGCTCAATATTTTGAGAATCCTTTATATACAGTTATCAATCTGTTCACTGGTACTCCCTGTAGAGTAGATGACATCTATTGATTATGAGTTCATATGGTCAACTGGTCAAGGGTCAAAATGGACACTTGAAGATACTGACTGCTCAATATCTTGAGAACCCTTTGCTCAACAGATACTAAAGTATAGTACACTGGTTTCCCCTAGTGAATGGATGACCTCTCTAGATTTTGAGGTTACAAGGTCAATGGTCAAAGTATTCTAGACATAGGAAGATATTGTCTTCGATAATATATGAAAAATGTCTGTCCGTCTGTCTAGCTGTCTGTCTGTTAATCTGTTTGTTTGCAAAAACTTTAACCTTGCATGCCCATAACTTTTCATTGGGTGGAACTATGGCTTTCACATTTCACATATGTATTCCTTGTGACAAGACCTTAATTCCTTTGGGTACCAACATATTTGACCTCTTGATCTTGACCTAGGAGTTTGACTCACTTTTGCAAAAATTTACCCAACTTTAACCTTGGCCATAACTTTTGAACAGTTGGTGTTAGGGCTTTCATATCCCACATGTAAATTCATCATGACAAGACCTTTCCATGGGTGTAAATATTTTTGACCTTTTGACCTTGACCCTATAGTTTGACCCACTTTTAAAAAAACTTTAACCCTGGCCATAACTTTTGAACAGTTAGTACAAGGGCTTTCAAATTTCACAGGTATATTTCTTGTGACAAGATCTTCCTTTGGGTATCAACAATTTTGACCTTTTGATCTTGACCTTGGAGTTTGACCTACTTTTGAAATGCTTCTCCTTTATACAAACAATTCCAGACCCGATCAGCCTCTTTTTTCATTGCTGTAATCAGGGACCATATACTAGCTAGCTTAAGATCCCTGCTGTAATTTGATTGATAAAACAATCATGAGTCAATATCATCTATAAGCAGTGGCAGTCAGTAGTTGGCAGTTGCAATAAGCATTTGGCATTAAGCAGTTGGCTGTCATATATTATCTGCCAATCTGACAATTAAGCATTCAGATGGGAGCACTTTTTTTTTAATATTGAAAGAATACAGATATAAATGTAACTTTTTGTGTGTTTATTATCAGAAATAAAATAAAAACGGGAGAAAAAAAAGAAAGAAAAAAATGAAAATCTTTGACAATTTTATTCTATTTTTTATGAATAAAAAACCAACCACTAATACAGATTATGTATTTTGACATCGGGTTCGGATAATATTAATTTACCCCTTTCTTGGCCCCATAACCGGATCAAATATGGCGGCTTTGTTGAAAACGTAACATTTCATCCGTGTAGTGTTTACACCGTAACAGAACAAACAGGTAAGTTGTAATTTGTCAGAAGCTAATTTATAAGTTTTGAATAATCTTTACTCCGTAGACAGGGAAAAAAATATAAAGGAAGATAAAATGCACAATCGATAATTTATTAACCTGATAGAAAATGAATACACGATACAGTAATTTGGTAAACAATATTTTGACGTCACCAATCTTATCCAGGATTGGGCCTTTTAATTTTTAGCATAGTGTAATTAGAGTAGAAGCTTAATCGTCATAAAAACTGCAATATCTATTTGTATACATGTACATTTTGAACCTTTCTTCATTAACGTTATGTGTGACTGTAGCTATGCCAACTAGTGCATGTTCTGCATTTCGAAATATGTAGATACACGTGCAGGGTGGGTGGTATGATCTTTAAGTGAGTAGCAAGACTGGCTTTCTTTCTTTATTTGTTTTCAATTTAATTTTTGCATATATATAACATAAATTCATATGGAAAGTTGCTTTATGAGGTATAAAGTGAAATATGAATGATTTGATTGACTCAACTTAAAATGTGTTTTATTCTTTGAACATAAACACTGTGAATAATAAAGTAAAATTTTGCAATCATACTTTTTCAAAAGCTGTGATGGTTGTCACGCCTTTTCAGAAGCTGAAATGGTTGCCACACCTTTGTCATACTATGCATATACTTGTGTCCAGTTTAGAGATTTCCTGTTTATGGAGTGGTTTTCCTTTAAAATTTGAAAGAAGATTTTCATACAGATCTATACATATCTGTTCTGATTTGTAAAGGATAGGATATATGTTATGTTTTTCTGCTTTTGCTGACTGAATGGTTATTTGTCTATACTATAACTACAGAATGAGCAACATAATATCCTTGCTTAAATCAGTCTAGACGAACTCCAAAAACAGCGTGAACTCCCAAAACAAAGTCTTTGGCTCCATCATGCATTGCGGCAAAATGGCATCCGATGTAAACAAACGATGGATTGTCGTTCGTTTCTTCAAATATACGGCAGCATAATGGCTGTATTTAATGCATTGTTATTTCATTTTATTTTTTGTTGAATGGATAATTGCATTTATTAAATTATTTTGTGGATATTGACTTATTTATTGCTTCAAACTCTTGCATAATAGTGAATTGGATATAATTCAATACTGCCGGTAAGAAATATTTTCTTATTTAATTTATTGTCTCCTTGATTTAAATTTTATGTCGTTCCTACAATAAAGGTGCTTTTATTTGTTTTTGAAGACACCCAGCTTGTATTTATTTTAATCAGAAAATGCGCATTTTTCACCACGGAGCAGAGATATTAACAGGTTCATTTATAGAAGACATGTTGTGCCCTTAATATTTAGAAGAGTGGTTTTTAAAGTTTTCATTTTAATAGATAGTAGTTTTAAAAATGTTTTTTATAATAATATCTGTTCATATGTGATAAAAAATTGGTAAATAACAATGGTAATAACTTACACGTTCAATTCCGATGTCGTACGCAAATAGAAAACCGGAATGCTAATTTATGTGTAAAATTCAGTCACATTTTTTACAGTTACAATATATATGTCCCATTTTGCATATATATCCCTTTTATTATGCATATTTCCTTCTCAAAACGTATCATTTTCTCTGTAATTGATCTGACTTGAAACGTTAACTTTCAAAGTAAATATCTACTTTTTTGCAAATAAAATAAAAAATCTGACAAATACGATCTCTTCTGAAGTCTTTTATTTAGCATTTCTGAGTACTGGCATAATTGCCATACTTTTCAAAATTTTGCACGGACAGTTTTTGTAGACCCATCATTTTTGCCGAAAAATCACCATTTTTTGTGTGTGTGCGCATGCGTGGACTCTATTTTTGGAGTCTTTTTCAGTCTCAATTTCTTACTTCCGGAAACGCTGTTTTTGGAGTTCGTCTAGACTGTAAACATATATGTATTTTAAGTATGTTGATCAAACACTTTTTTTTTAACAATATCTTTTGATTTTTTTAACTTTGAAAACATTTTCTTATTGACATGTTTATATAAATTTGTCACTTTCATTTAAATCCCTTTTTTCTTTTAATTTAAAATAATTACATCAAATACTTGAAGCAGGGAATGCAGTGTAATAAGCTTTCAACAGGAAATGTAATGTACACATGCATTCCTGACAATACATGACATATTACATTTGTAGAGTTAATAGATAATAAGTCTTGGATATGTTTCGTAGCATTGAAATAAAAATTTTAATTTGACATATTACAGCCCACTAGCTTTTTGGATTTCATCTTCTGAATTCCTTGTGCATGCAGTTGTAGAAAGGGTTTATGTTATTGAAATAATCAATGCAACACAGAATGCCTTTATA